AGAGTAAAAAAAATCCAAATAGATAAGATAAAAGGAGTCCCAAAAGCCAGAGATAAATCTCCAATGCAAAGGTTAAAACATGAACATAAATCCAAGGAGCAGGGTATAATCATGAGCTTGATTAATCCAAAAGATAAGGTATAAAGCATCAACTTGAGTAACCCAAGAATCAAAGAACAACACATAAGCTTGAGTTCATGGTAAAATCCCCAAGACTTAAAGCAAAACTTGACAAGGACATGGCTTGAAGTGAGAACCAAGGCAGGAACTTCTTGCTCTATCTGCTACGTTGCTTGATCTGATAACTGAAAGCTATTATTTCCCTAATTAAGGACAGCAATGCATGAAAGCATTCCTTCAGCCTTGAATAGTCTCTCTTGGTCTCACTTTCCCATTGCCTGGCTTGCACCTGGAATTCTTCCCCCGCAGAAACAGCCTTGATTCTCTATCTAACCTCCCTTCCTGCCTGTCAGCTCCTAAAACAGTTTTGTTTTCACACAGATAATCACCCAAATCCCCCTCTGTTCTCCCAACCCGGGAATCACCATCCTGTTCTGACATCCCCTCTGTCTGAGCATCTCCAGAAGCATCAGGCCCTGCAAGCCCTGCAGCCCCAAACCCCTCATCATCATCCTCAGCTGGCTGAGCCACAACAAGACCCCTTCAAAGGGGAGATTATTCCCCGGACATGTAGAAACAACTGAACACGTGCTTCTTTGATGCATATTCTACAGAGACCTTAGAACTAATCGCATTACACCATGGCTTCTAAAATATCAGGGCACACCGAAAAAAATTACTCCACCTTGCTGCTTTCAGACTCTAGCACTACAATAACTTACAGTGTAGCTAAGTTTTGTGTTGCAACACTAAAAATTAGATGGATGATGATCAACCCTGTAAGGCATCACCCTGTTGGGAATATAGTTAGAGCAACCTGTTACGGCTGAAATGCTACTAGACTTGTAATGTGCCCCTTCCATCCCTTTTAGTGCCCCCCCCCCCGTGCTTTGACCCCTCCTATCAGTCTTCCCTCCCTTGTTTCTATACCTGCTACATTAACCTGTGTGTTTTAAACTGTGATTTTAAACAGTTTTCTAATCTATTTTTAATAACTGCTTCATTGGGGAGCTGTGTTTCCTCTCCCAGGGCGCTTGCGCCCCGCTTTATGCTGGTCAGTGACCATAACAAAGTTTTATATTCATAAAAGGGTTTAGTGTGCAAGGAAATCATTGTCAAGAAATGCAGAAATCTGAAACACCAAATTCACATATGAAATGTTTAGAGTATTGATTTTTATTTGTATTTCAAAAACAAAATTTAGCATGATATCAAGTGAAAAGCGACAAGCCTCTGTAACTCTATTCTAGGCCTGGAAGAAGGAGAGAAACCACTAGTTTCAATGCTACTACAGATCATTGCTTAAAGTTGCCAGAAAACAGCTCAGCTCCAGATATACACATTTAGAAGAAATTCATAGCAATGGAAATAAGAAAGAGAAATGCTGCTGACATGGAATGGCATCCTAGGAATATATTTCTAGACACTAGTAACACAATGTAATGGATGAGCAGCACCCATTTCACTTTGTTATTGTTGGAGAAATGGACTGGAAAGATTTTTTTAAAAAAATACTGCACCATTTTATGGTAAATTGAACATAGAAGGAATCTGAAATAATGCTGTGCAGGAATTTGTGCCCCTCCTCAAAACTGTCATGGAAATTGTCAAGATACGTGTTTCTGTGGCATTATTATTTGCGTAACTAGATCACAATGCAGGATTTGCCATCTGAATGGTAAAATAATGGATTTTTATTTACACAAAAATGAAGCGTAACTGCAAATGCACTCAAGGCAAGCTGTTTTCTCATGTGGATTGAATTAAACAGAGTCCAAGTCTAAGCCCTCCATAGGAACAACTGTGTGTACAGTTGCATGTCTGCTGTACTATACTATACAAAATGGAATTTATTTATTTATTTATGACATTTATATCCCACCCTTCTCACTCCAAAGGGGACTTAGAACTGCTTACAAGTGATATATACATACAATATATTATATTATTAGTATAGCACAATATTAGTATTCTGCTATACTAATAATATAATATATTGTATATTAATAATACTGCAGTATAGTGGTATTGTACTATACCACTATACTGCAGTATTATTAGTAATATTACATGTAATATGAAATATATAATTATTATATTATTATATTGTACTATTATTAGTATTGTATTGCAATATTATGATCAATATTATATGTACAAACAATATGTTATCATTATTAGCATAGCACAGTATTAGTCTTATATATTCCTATATTGTACTATACCACTATACTGCAGTATTATTAGTGATATTACATGTAATATAAAATATATTATTATTATATTATTATATTCTATTGTATTATTATTATTAGTATTATATTGTATTACAATATTATGATCAATATTATATGTACATACAACATATTATAATATTAGCATGGCACAATATTAGTATTATATATTAGTATATTGTACTATACCACTAGACTGCAATATTCTTTGTAATATTACATGTAATATATAATATACAATTATTATAGCATATTATTATTAGTATTATATTGTATTACATTATAATATTATTGTCAAAATTACATGTACATTCCTTTCCATTTTCTGTATTGCATCACTATTACTAATTTGATGAGTACACATTGATTTTAAACAAGCTTTTCCAGCTTGATTTCAGTATACAGCAGGGCAAGGGATACAAGTTTCAGAGAAATAGCTTGAGGAGGCTCATCAATCCTTGTTGGCTAATCATTAATTCAACACGATACCAGCACACACTGAGTAGTCACATCATCATTGTCATTTTTTTAAAGAGTGGAAGTCAAAGGTTAATTGTTTATATTTACTACCCAATTCAGAGCAACCCTAGACTAGAGATTTAAACTGAGAGTTGTTTGAACTTTACAGTCCAAAATGTCATACTATTTGTTGGAATTACAGTTTAATTGGCCCCTTGGGGCTTTGTACGCTGTTTATTGATTAAGCTCTCAATAGATTTTTTTTTTTTAAGAAAGTGATTAATTCTACAAGTTGGTTGCCCGGCTGCACGCTAACATCTTCACAGCCCCATGCCGTCCTGGTCCTTAAGTGCTTTCAGCGATAAAATAAAATAAACTCAAGGTCAGTTATGCAAAAGCCAGTAAGCGAGGCATCACAGAACTTGAATGGTTCAGAACTATTGCAACTGATGTGTACTGTTTAACATTTATTTGATGCCAGCTGTGCTTGTAGCACTCTAGAGACAGCAGAAATGGTACATCGTGTGCCCAGAATCAATTCACATAAAGATCAATTCATGTAAAAACACTGTCATCTACAGAAGGGTTCTCAACTTTCCTAAAGCCGTGACCCCTTAATACAGTTCCTCATATTGTGGTGACCCCCAACCATAAAATTATTTTGGTTGCTACGTCATAACTGTAATTTTGCTACAGTTATGAATTGTAATGTATATATCTGATATGCAGGATGGATATCACTGGAACAAATTTGGCACAAATACCCGATACGCCCAAATTTGAATACTGGTGGGATTGATTTTGTCATTAGGAAGTTGTACTTGCTAGGATTTATAGTGTTGTTGTTGTTTTTTTGCAAATAATTCATTCCTGTTACTTATCACAGTGTTGAAAAGTAATCTATTGCTATTACCTGTTACAGTGTTGAAACGTCACGCATTAGAGCAGTGGCTCTCACCCCTTAATATAGTTCCTCATGTTGTGGTAACTCCCAACCATAACATTATTTTCATTGCTACTTCATAACTGTCATTTTCTAGATATGAATCGTAATGTAAATATGTGATATGCAAGATGTATTTTTATTCACTGGACCAACTTTGACACAAATACCCGATACGCCAAAATTTGAATACTGGTGCGGTTGGGGGAGGGGATTGATTTTGTGATTTGTGTGCTGGGATTTATAGTTAACCTACAATCAAAGAGCATTCTGAATTCCACCAAGTTGCCAACAATGGAATTGAACCAAACTTGGCACACAGAATTCCCATGACCAACAGAAAATACTGGAAGTGTTTGGTGGGCATTGACCTTGAGTTTTGGAGTTGTAYTTCACCTACCTCCAGAGAGCACTGTGGATTCAAATAATGATAGATCTGGATCAAACTTGGCACAAATACACATTATGCCCAAATGTGKACACTGGTAGAGTTTGGGGGAAATAGACCTTGACATTTGGAAGTTGTAGCTGCTGGGATTTATAGTTCACCTACAAGCAAAGAGCATTCTGAACTCCACCAATTATGGAATTGGSCCAAACTTCCCACACAGAATCCCCGTTCCTTGGAGGGASTCACTGGCACMAGCCTCCCTCCAGCCTCGCACACTCTTCCTCGCCCACAGTATGTGCACCACGCTGCCATGCGCCAAGCACGCCGCTCTCCCTCCCCACTTGGAGTCTCATAAACAGCCCTCCCCTTGGCTGAGAGGCCAGCCAATCACAGCAGAGGAGGGCTTTTAGTGGAAGGATTCACCATCTGTTTCCAAAAAGCAAGAGAAAGACAGGCTAAGAGATCTTTAACCTTCTCTGGCAAAGGGGTTCCTAATACCATCAGAAATATATGTCTTCTGATGGTCTTCGGTAACCCCCCCTGAAAGCCCCTTGCGACCCCTCCCCCCCCCCATGGGATCCCGACCTGCAGGTTGAGAAATGCTGATCTATAGCAATCTAAACCTGATCATTCTCAGATAACACAGCATATGAATTAAAATAGCAAATGTCTGTTTAGTGTTAAACATTTTCCATTTTCCAAAATGACTTCTGGCTGAATTTCTGCTTCCTCTGATCTACAGATTACAGAATCCATACAGATGTATCCTTTCATATTTTTACTCACATCTAGGAAGTAAACAAAAACTGTGAATAAGAAACAAAACAAAAAGTGAAAAGTAACAGATCCTTACCTTATACCAGGAGACATTTACCCCCGTTTTGACTTGTAGATCCTCAAAAACCTTACAAGGGAGCGTCACATCTTTATTGCATTCTGCCACTATCTGTAGTGTGGCACCAACAACTCCATGAATCACATGCCAAACTACAAGAAGGGACACAAAGAAAGGTTGAATGAGTTGTCAAAGGCTTTCGTGGCCAGCATCACTGGGTTGCTGTGTTGCCATGCTATTCAGTGATAACTAAGGTGGCCAATTGCAACATTCACATTTGCCTCAAATAGACAAGTTCTTTCTCCCACCGTGGACACTCCAAAGATATATAAACCCCACTTGCCTAGTTTCCAACAGACCTCACAACTTCTGAGGATGCCTGCCATAGATGTGGGCGAAAAGTCAGGAGAGAATGCTTCTGGAATATGACCATACAGCCCGGAAAACTCACAGCAACTCAAAGAAAGGTTGTTTCTAAATAGGGCTTAATACCATCAACTGCAGAAGGCATCATATTCCTTGTGTTTGTCTTTCAATTTTTAAAACTACACTAGTGAGAACAATCTTCAAAGTATCAGATAAAGTTCAAGAGTAAAGCATTTGAAAAGTAAATAAAAGCAGAAAAAGACACGTTTGTTCTATTTCAACATTTTGATAAAAAGGAAGGGTCTGGGGAGCAGGAAGAAACAGATTTTGGAAACAGAAAGAAACAGGAAAAATGTTTACCTAGGAAGGCAAAACGGTAGCAGTGTGTTGAAGCCATGAGCATGTTGTAGAAGTGGTTGATCTTGGCTGTTTTCAGAACGAGAACTGAACAGAAGTGAAAGTGATGACATCTATACTCATTACTATTTAAGTCATGAAACGGTTGGGATTCCCCCTACACAGAATCTCTTAAAGGCCATTGCTTGAGGGGAAAGCCCCATAAAATTTCCTTGTATGTTCTTAAACTCAGAGAATACAATATTCTGGCAGTCTTCTCAGAAGTGACCCTATTTTTTATTGTGTCAGAAGTGACTTGAGAATATACTGCAAGTCACATCTGGTGTGAGAGAATTGGCAGTCTGCAAGGACATTTTAGAGTTTTTAAAATACTGTGGACAAGTCTTCATAGGGATCACCAAACGCAGCATTGCCCAAACACGAATCAAGGAACATGAAAGGCACTGCAGACTAATTCAACCTAAAAAGTCAGCCATAGCAGAGCACCTGATGAACCAGCCTAGACACAGCATATTATTTGAGAACACAGAAATGCTGGACCACTCTAACAACTACCATGTCAGGCTACACAGAGAAGCCATTGAAATCCACAAGCATATGAACATTTTCAACAGAAAGGTGGAAACCATGAAAATGAACAAAATCTGGCTACCAGTACTAAAAAAACTCTAAAATTATAACAGTAAATAAAAAACAAAACTCAAACACAAGGACAGGAAACAATCATGAACACCGGGTCACCTCTCAACAAGGGAATTTCCCAGGCAGTAATAAGCCACACCTAAAAGCTGTCAGGCCATCAAATTCTAATAAAGGTGGTCAATAGAAACATTCACACCTAGCTCCAACAGACAAGAGTTCTTTCTCCCACACTAGACTTTCCACAGAAATATAAACTAAATTTTCCTAGTTTCCAATAGCCCTCACACCCTCTGAGGATGCCTGTCATAGCTGCAAACGAAATGTCAGAAGAGAATGCTTCTGGAACATGGCCATACAGCCCAAAAAACCTACAACAACCCAGTTACCTGGGATCTCATTTCCAATGGAAATTACAGAGAAAATAGGGCAAAATTATCTCCTCCTGGTGGTAAAGATTTTTTCCAGGGATCTCAACTGTGGTCCTACATCATGGTTTCCCTCCTCAACTAGCCAATCAGGAGGTGAAATGGGTCAAAGGCAATGGTCTTTACTAGGAGATGTCTTCTCTGATTTGTCAGGTGAACCCAAAACTTTGCCAGTTATACAGTTGACATTCAGTTGGTTGAATGTTCATCAACAGGCCAATTTCCTCCTTCTTGGTGGGGGGTTGAACTGGATGGCCCATGGGGTCCCTTCCTACTCTATGATTCTATGATTCAATTTTTTATATCTCATACTCATATGTTAGCACAAAATTAAATCATTGATAAACATGGCTGCAAAACTGAGGTCCATAAAACTTTTTTTAATGTATGCTGGTTTTATAGGAATTCGCCATTCTAAATCCAAAAATGACCTTAACATTTGCACTACCATGCATGATTTTTTTTTCATGACTTGCCTTGACATTTTTTATTATGTAACATGGGACGGAATAAAATTTATTTGCAAACGAAAGTATAAACAGTAAGAAAGAGGGGTAAGACTTCCAACAGACTTTCCAAACACTTAAATTTGCTGATATGAATCACAAAAATCCATTCAAAAGCACGAAAAGAAATTGCTCTGGAACATCAGCATTCCCACATAATCTGAGTAACAACTGAATTGATTTTTTTAAAAGCCAAATCTGTGAAAGAAATGCGAGCGGTACAACATTTTATTGTGGTTTTCAAATTCAACACCCAAAAATACATTAAAAATGGGAACATTGTTGAAAAAAAAATCAATCACAAGGCTGTGGTTTCTTTCTATGTCAATGTTTTTGTATTCATAATATTTCTTATAAAAATTGCATCTTTTAAAAAATAGCCATTAAAATTAATTATGCAGAAACATTCTTATAGTAGACTTCTACGTGATGCCATTATTAAATCCTTTCCAGGAATAAATTTCAAAATCTTTTTAAAAACACTTTATTTTATTCTGATTTTTCTTAAAAGCAATTGCGAGTATAATCTTTATTCTTTCTTGAAACAAGGCACACACTTCCTGAGACATTGCCAAGGGAACAATGCATGAAAGACACACAAAATGAAAGCTCTGGGCCTTCAACACAGTCCTATATACCAGAATATCAAGGCAGAAAATCCCACATTATTGGACTCAAATAATCCAGTTCAAAGCAGATATTGTGGGATTTTCTGCCTTGATATTCTGGGATATAGGGCTGTGTGGAAGGACCCTTGGATTGTTTATGTGAATGACCTCAGTCTGAGAATTTTCCACAAGTGGGTTTTTCCCTTGTGGTAAAGTTAGACTGTACTTTCCAGACCTGAGTTCCTCCAGACGAGATTGTTTATTGTCTCCCATAACTCAAAGTTATCTCTTCCATTAAGAAGACAGCAGACTCAAAGAAGCCAATATTAGCCAATAAAAGTAGTCATGGCAGGATATCTTTGGTTTTTGTTTTAGAAATCACAAAACTTGGGCAGGTTGAGCCTAGCTGCTGTTTTCCTCCAAAGGAGCCATTGGTACAGTGCAAATAACATTTTTGGTGGTTTAAACTTTTTAGATCTAATTTTCTTTAATGGTGGATAGAAATTTGCAGAGATAAGAAAGAATAAACACAGAGATAAATGTATGTAAACAGGCGAAATTAAGGCCAATAGATTATAGGTGAATATAATGCTGCAATCCTATGTTCATTTAGGATTCGGTCTAGGGACTGGCTGTTACATTTTGCAAGCCACAAATCATATTACCTTTAGTGTGTTGCTTTTCAAGGTACTGAGAGCCAAACAATATACAGTAACTGTTGAGTCACTGTGAGCTTTCCGGGCTGTATGGCCATGTTCCAGAAGTATTCTCTCCTGATGTTTCACCCACATCTATGGCATGCATCCTCAGAGGTTGTGAGGTCTGTTGGAGACTAGGCAAGTGAGGTTTATATATCTGTGAAATGTCCAGGGTGGGAAAAAGAACTCTTGTCTGTTTGAGGCAGATGTGAATGTTGCAATTGGCTACCTTGATTAGCATTGAATAGCTGCTTCCTGCCTGGGGGAATCCTTTGTTGGGGGTGTTAACTCGTCCTGATTGTTTCCTGTCTGGTTTTTGAGTGTTTCTCTTTATTTACTGTCCTGATTTTAGAGTTTTTTTTAAATATTGGTAACCAGATTTTGTTCATTTTCATGGTTTCCTCCTTTCTGTTGAAATCGTTCACATGCTTGTGGATTTCACTGGATTCTCTGTGTAGTCTGTGTAGTCTGACATGGTAGTTGTTAGAGTGGTCCAGCATTTCTGTGTTCTCAAATAATATGTTATTTCCAGGTTGGTTCACCAGTTTCTTCGCTATGGCTGACTTTTTAGGTTGAGTTAGGGGAGGTGGCTTGCCATTTAAAGATAATGTATTCCCCAGGCCTCCTATGTGCCTGGGGGAATTCAGAGTTGGGGCTTTACTTCTTGTTTCTTTGTTAAGAAACAAGAAGTAGTCAATGTGACATTTTAGAGCAATAGGAGTGCGTGCATAGGGTAATGTCTCAGATCTGGGCTCAAAGTGGGAGAAGGAGTTTTAGGGGAAGAGCACTCTTCCAAAATAAAAGGGATTTTTGTCTCGGTGTTGCTGAGCACTGCCACTGCTGGCTGCTTCAGGGGGCCCTTCTACACTGCCGTATAATCCAGATTATCAAAGCAGGAAATCCACTTTATCTGCTTTGGATTGTGAGTCTACACTGCTATATCATCCAGTTCAAAGCAAATAATCTGGATTTTATATGGGCAGTTTAGAAGGGACCAGAATGACTGCACTGGACCTGTCAAATCCTGGCTAATACTAAGGCTCTGTGAGAGAGAGGTTGGATCTATACTGCCATATAGTCCAGGTTCTCAAAGCAGATAATCCACACTATGTGAGTCTACACTTCCATAAAATCCAGTTCAAAGCAGATCCTATTGATTTTATATGTCAATGCAAATCCAGCCTGGCTGACCTTAAACAAATCACTCACAGGCTGGATCTACACTGCCCGATATCCCAAGATGTGATCCCAGATTATCTGCTTTGAAATGGATTATATGGCAGTGTAGACCTATATATTCCAGTTTAAAGCAGATAATCTGTATTTTATGTGGCAGTGTAGATGGGACCTTAGTCCCTGAGAACCCTATGATAGAGTTTCTTAGGGGTTACCATAAATCAGAAGATCCACAACAATAAACTGTTAAAATTAGATCTGGAAAAAGTTTGTTTTTCTGCTCAGTGCAGAACCTGGAACATTTAATTTCCACCCACGTAAATGTTATTCTTATTGTTAGACTAATAAAACCCCTTCTACACTACCATATAATCCATTTCAAAGCAGATAATCTGGATTTTATATGGCAGTGGAGAAGGGACCTTGGTGGGGGTTTTTTAAAAGTTGAATTACATATTCAGAGCAACTGTGATTGATACTATGACTGGATCTACACTGTCATATAATCCAGATTATCAAGACAGATAATCCACATCTGCTTTGAAATGGATAATCCACATCTAGATTACCAAAGCAGATAATCCACATCTGCTTTGAAATGGATAATCCACTTCTACTTTGAATATCAGTGTACACTGCCATATAATCCAACAGACAATCTGAATTTATATGCCAGTGGAGATGGGGCCTCAATGGCAACACAAGAGGCTGCCCCAAGGTATTGGGTTTGGGTTCCTGTTGGGTTTAGGATGCTCCTAATCTGGCCACCCAAGTGGATTCATTGGAGGGATGAAGGCAGAGGGCTGCATTTTTGTCCCAGAAAATACATGCAGTCCAGCAGCCACACTTTGCTGGCCCAAGTTTTAAACACATTGTAACTGTTTGGTTATTAAGTGTTGTCAAAGGCCTTCATGGTCGGAATTACTGGGTTGCTATGAATTTCCCGGGCTGTATGACCATATTCCAGAAACATTATCTCCTGACATTTCGCCCACTCCTATGGCAGGCACCTTCGGAGATTGTGAGGTCTGTTGTAAACAAGGCAAGTGAGATTTATATATCTGTGGAATAATGTCCAGTGTGGGAGAAAGAATTCTTGTCTGTTTGAGGCAAGTGTGAATGTTGCAACTGATTGTCTTGATTAGCGC